AAAAAAAAAGGAATGAAAAAAAAAAGGTTACTGATAAAAATTCAGTATTGAAGCACTTCAACTTTTTTTCATAACTGAACTTGATGAATAAACAAGAAGAAGAAAAACTGGGGGGCTCGTGGATGATATTCCGTTGTCAAAATTGAAAGTTTTAGCAAAATGAAAAGATCCATCAAAATTCTAGATACATACATACATTCAATTACTGGAGTGAGAAAGATCGAATTAGAGCAATTTAATGCATTTTTGCCAAGAGAAGCTATCCAAGAAAAAACTTTGGGGACTCTAAGCATCTCCTTCAACTTCTTTTCTTAAAAGGCATACCTCAGATGATTTTCCAGGTAGTTCAAGAGCATTGGATATGCCACTGGATGTTGAATTCTGTAAAAACAAGCTCTTGAAAGATTAATGAAGTGTCGTCTCACAGAACAACAAAAAAATTGTAACCTTCAGAAACTAATCCAAAACACTCCAACACATATCAGGACAGAATCAATTTAACTAATTATAGTGATTAAGCTTCATTTCAAGAGGGTATCGACTAAAATGAACGCACAAACATTAGAATTTGATAGAACTTCAAGCCAACCCACACCCCATAAGAAAAAATCAAGAACCCAGTCAAGACTTAGAAGAACCCATTTAAAAAGCTTGAAACTTTAATGAATCCCTTTCATATTCCCGTTCGATTGTTGCCCAAAAAACAAAGACAATCTTTAACACAGCTCAACAGGTGGTTGTGCAGAAAACACTGTCAAAGAATGAATTCATACGAACATAAAGGTAAACCGACAAGAACCCATTAAATTTACAGCGTCAAAAACATCAAGAACCAAAAAAATAAAGAGGAATCACCATGATAAGACTCTTCTGAGTTGTTTCTTGCTGGGTTGAAATCCAAGAAAACTCACACAACGACAGCAGATCAAACAAGGTTTAGAGCAATTGGAGAAAGGAAGAATTGTTACAGTAGTGTTGAGGAAGGAGATGGCGAGAGATTGAAACAGATTACACACTTTTGATGAGGAATTTGAGGGGAGAGAGAGAGAGAGGAAAATATGAGATTAGCAATAAGTCTCGTGGACTTTTCCTTTTTGTTTTTCTTCACAATGTCCCTTTTTCCGGTTCCCTCTTTTACTTTTGTTTTCCTTTTTTTCTATTTATTTAATTTATTAACTACTTTTCATTTGTATCGCATTAAAATCAGTGACGGAGCTAGGATTTTTTAAGTATGGGAGATCCGATTTTTAATGTGAAATAACGATTTTGTAATTTACGTGAAAACGATCATTTCATATAAAATTGTGTTTACTTATAAATATAAATATTAGTATATGTACCTTCAAGTTTTTAAGAACTTAGAATCCGCGTCAACATAATTTTTTTTTTAAGAAAAAAATGAGATTTTTGTGTATTTATAATTTAAGTTTAAGATCTATAATTTTTGAAAAATAAGTTTTTTTTCAAATTGAACACATTGCATATAATTTTTTGTTGATTAGAACTTATCAAATGACCTTTTTTTAATAAAAAATAAATAAAGTTGAAAATATATGATTACATAAAAAATAAAGTAAAAAATCAATATTCAAATATACAACAATCAACATTCTAAAATCTAACAATCCAACTAACTAGGTTTTAAAAATTATTAAATTGATTTACAATTAAAAGTCTGAAAGAGTAAATTATTATAAATATTTTCAAAAATTTATCCAAATATATAAAATATAATGATTGTTAGTATACTTTTCAATAAGTAAAAAATATTATTACTTTAAATTAAAATAAAATTGAGAATAAGTTTTAATTATTTATATATTCTACATATTTTTTACATTTTTATTTATTTTTATAATATTTTTTATTTGTATATATATATATAATGATTTTTGTAAAAAAAAATGAGGGGGCCCCCTGGACCTCACGTAGGTCCGTCACTGATTAAAAAACTATTATATGATTATGTGCACAGTTATACATAGGAAATAAAAATTTATATATTATATTTACGTATGTAATATTTAAAATTTTAAATTAAATAAAGTGCGTATCACATTTTAGAATTTTGACTATACGTAAATGTATAATATAAATATAAATTATTTACTTTCCATATAAATCAGTTTTTTTTTTTTTTTTATTGTATAACTATAATACAAAGTAGGAATATTAGCTTTAAAATAATTGAATACTGCATATTCAAAAAATTTAAAATCTTGTAAAGCTGATACAAAATAAAAATTAATAATAATATAGTTTTAGTTGTGTAACTGTGTCATTTAAATGCTGGTCATAAAAATTTTTATTAAATGAAGTCCTATTTTTATTAATTGATTACTGAATAAAATTTACTGAAGCTTGCTAGCAATTTTATAGATATAGATATAGATTCATCTTGATTAATATTCGACTTAATACTCATCTAGCATATTTAAAAAAAATAAAAATATTTACATCTATAGTTATGAACTAAAACTTAAATTTATTATTAAAAACTAATAAATATAATTATTTATGTAATAGTTATTTTGTATATGTTTTATTAGAATAATTCATCTAATATAGGATAATACTTATTAAAAATATATTATACCATTTTATTCAAAATATATATACATGTTTGAAACAATCAACTACTCCAAGCCTATAACCTAAAATTGTTTGACATTTTCTGTATGAATTTAAAAAAAAATATATATATATATATATATATATTATATTATTAATGCACGGGGAGTATCATTATGCTACAATATGAGTTGAGCTAATACCAATTTTAATTTTTATATATTTTTTTTCACGTTTCTCACATCTAAAATTTTTATCACTTTAAACAAACACGTGTGGGGACACACACGTGTAACTCCGTATATTTGCTTGGCCTTCCACTAGCTAGTAGCTACAGTAGTGACACGTGTGGGGAAGAGATGCTGATATTCTTGAGTGTTTGCTCAACCACTCCACACCGTTAAGCGAGTGAAGAAAATACTCAAATAGTTTTTTTTTTTTTTTTCTAACAATTTAATTTTGAAAAAATTGGTATTGTAGTTAGTGAAATTTTAAATTTATATTAAAATAAAATAATTAAAGTTAATTTGATGTAAAAATAAGATAAAGATAATGTAAAGTAACAATTAGTTAAAATTATATGAATGAACAGTGAACTAAAATTGAAGTGATGTGTAAAAATAATCGATTGATATTATTTAATTATACTGATAATACTGAAAATTGTAAAATTGAGTTAAAATTGAATTAAATTTCGAGTATGAATTGCTAATTAGACCTATAAACGAGCCGAGTCGAGCCCGAGCTCAGAGTGCTCGAGCCCAAGCCGAACTCTTAAATAAACGAGCCTGAGATCGAGCTTGTGTTCGACTCGTTTATCACTAATAACGAGCCGAGCTCGAGCCTTAACGTGTCAATCTCAATCTTTAACAAGTCGAACTATAAAATTATATAAAAATTCTCTTTTCGACCCTTACCGAACCGAGCCGTTCCGAGCTCGACTCGTTACCAAAAGAACTTTAAAATAAGTTCGAGTGCTGCTCATTTATCAAACTAATCGAACGGATCTCGAGCCAAACTCATTTAATTTAATAAGACTATTGATAACCAACCAATACATGTCCAGCAGCAAGTCACAAATCCAGTTCCAACATTAAACTAGTCTTATAAATAACACTAGTAAATGCACATCATATCCAAAATCAGCCCCCAAGAAGCCCTCTTGCAGCTGCTTAAACATATTTTTCCCCCTCGTCTCTTTCTTTTTCCCTCTCTTACCTATTTCAATTTTCATGCCTGGCTTTAGTGGTAAGACCAAACCCGAACTTAAAAAGCGGGTCGTAATGCGGGTCCCCAACATTCATGGGCAGCTGATCCACCGACCTGAACCAAGTCCGAGCAAGCTTCCCTGTAAACCCATAGTCCCCAAACAAGGCATCGGCCAAGCCCAGCCCACCTTCGGTCCCTGGGAGCCAAGCGGCCACAAGCCCATCTATCTCGTCAAGATAGGGCTCCATCACAATGGGCCGGCCCGATACAACAACCACAACACACCTAACGGCACCACACACGTTTTTTATGGTGCTTGGGCCGGGCTCGATCATGGTGAGGTTTGAGCTGTCCCCATACATCTCGGCATATGGGGCCTCGCCGACTACAACAATGGCGTAAGAAAAACCCCCGTTTCTGACGAAATTTGGGTCGGGATTTTCCGAGTAGACGACTTGCGTGGAAGGTTCGACTGTGCTTTTCACGGCGGTCAGTATTGTGGTGCCTGTCGATATTATTAGATGCGTGTAAGAAAATCAAGGAAATTATAGTTTGTTGTTATGAATTTGAGCTGAACAGCTTCAACGTAGGCCTGTAAACGAGAGCTCGAGCCATTAATGCCATAAATCAAACTCGAGCTCGGCTCGTTTATCACTATTAACGAGCCGATCTCGAGCTTTAAAGAGCCAAACTATAGAACATCGTATAAAAAATTTCTTTTCGAGTCTTAACAAGACTAATCGAGCCGTTAACCAAACGAGCATTAAATGAGATCGAGTTTGGTTCGTTGAGGACACAAGCTCGAGCCGAACTCGGGCCTTAACGAGCCTTATCGAGCCGAGCTGTTAAACAAACGAGCGTTAAATGAGCTCGAGCTCGAGCCGAGCCACGCTCGTTTAATTTAACATTCAAGGATAAAACTAAATATTAAGCAACATTAAACTTTTCGTGGAATATTCCAATTACCAAACCATATATTATCGTTTTATGAAAACGTACCAACTGTAAGATCATTGCCCAGAACACCTTGCCACTCGATCGTCCAGCCTCCACATTGATACCCCAAGTTATCGGCGTGAGTCCCTGCAACTAGAACTTTCGGCACTTTCTTTGAAAGGGGAAGCAATGGATGATTGGCGCTTTTGCCGTTCTTCAAAAGAACGAGAGATTTTCTGACAGCTTCTCTTGCCAAGTCCCTGTGTTCCTATATATAAACAAGAATGCAGTTCATACATTTGAGCTCTATCCGAAAAAATGACTAAAAACACTCTTCTAGCTTTGAATTGATCTTTCTATCAATTTACATTGGTCCCTTCATAATCCAAAAACCTTTTGCAATTATCCCTAGGGAAAATATAGAGCCGAGGAAAAAAAAAAGATAACCGGGTTGCCGAGTTTGTTTGCTAGGCTGAGATCAGCTAAAGGATCCTCAAATAAACCCATGGTGAACTTGACTCTTAGTATTCTTCGAACTGCATCATCTATTCTGCTCATGGGGATGATTTTGTTCTTCACTTGGAAAGTCAGATCGTCGATAAATTCTGTGAAATTCTCGGGAAGCATAATCTGAAAGAAAGAAAGGAGTTAATAACTAACTAACTAACTACATTAGAAACAAAAGTATTATAATAATATAAGCATGATCATATAATAGTTCATATTTTTTTTAAATGCATTGTATTATAATCAACTTATCAACTTAACCATATCAATTCCTGCAAGAATTCCAGCTTGAACAGAATAAGAATAGTTCGAATGTGGCGGGCTTGTGATCCTATCAATACCCTGCCAATCTGATATAACAAATCCCTACATCATTATAAACCCAAAACTAGTTTAGTCACTATTAATAGAAAAGTTAGTTCTTTCTAAACAGGTCAACTAAAAAAACAAGAAAAATTGTTACCCTGAATTTAAGTTTGTTCTTAAGAAAGCCCGTTACAAGTTCTTGGTTTGCGTGCATCTTTTTGCCGTTCCAGCTCGAGTAGGACACCATAACTGTGGCCACGCCTTTAATAATTGAGTCGAAATATGCAGGCATGTGAATGCTCATCAAACCTTTATAATCGATCACCGTATTATTTTCGTCAATACCGTTCACCGTGCCACCATCTCCAACAAAATGCTTAGCACAACCAGCAACTTTTGTCCTTTAGAAATAAATAAAAAAAAAAGGGAAAAAGTATTAGGTAAATTACAATAATTTCATTTACTTTGAGAGAAACTTTCTTGAATCCATGTAACATTTTAATTTTTTTAAAAAACAACTTACTAATATTCCTTGCACCAAATTTACAAACACACAATGCATATACATTGTGTGGAAAACCAATTTGAACATCAAGGAAAAATTTAAACTAATAGTCCTCGCAAGTAATATAAATATAAAATAATATTAGATCTTACTTTCCCGGGGTGACGAAAGGAACGCCCTTTCGAGCATTAGACGGGAGTTCGCCCTGTAAACCAGGTATAATCTCAGTCATAGCTTGAACAATTTTATGATCCTCACTATAACTTTCATAACAACGACCCCACCTCGGATCTCTACACACCTGTAAGAAAAAAAGAAAAAAAGATGGAGAATAAGGCCTAAAAGAACACGACTAATTAGAACACTAACATATGTGTGGGCTCGAACTATTTCTTACAGCAATACAAGGCGAAAAAGCATATTGAATTCCTGTGGCTCTAACTTCAAGTGCAGTTGCAGCTCCAATTCTCTTCAAAAGATTGGGATCTCTGCGTAAAATGCATAAAAAAAAAAAGAAAATTTTCAAATTATTGCACCATTTGACTTATACAACTTGTTTGAAGAAAATTTATTGACAATCATTGTAATCATCACTTGAATACAACAAGATTATATATGACAAGATGAAGATAAAAGTCAAACAAGGCATAAGTTTTCTTCATAAAAGAGATGCAACACACTTGCATAGTAAATAAACACAACTTCCATAGAATTTGAACAAGAAAGAACAGAATATATTATCTACCTCAACTAAACAAAACCAATTTCACAAGGCAAGAAAGATAAAAATAAAGCCCTCTTCCAAAGAATAACAAGAATCAATCACTTCTAGAGTACATACTATTTCACACAACACCAAATAAAATGAAGAATGAGCTCTTTTCAAAATACTTAGGTCCCGAATTATACTTGCCTGGTGACTCCAAGGCCAACATTGTGAGGAAAAATAGTAGCATTGTACACATTGTTGTGGCCATGAACAGCATCAATGCCATAAATCATAGGGATCCCTAAGCGAGTCGAAAGGGAGGCTTTTTGGAGATCATTTACCATATTCACCCAAATCTCTGGAGAAGCTTCGGGAGATGGTACACTTCCTCCACCACTCAACACACTCCCTATCAAAAGAAAACCATATCATTTACTTTTCCTTGAGATAATACATAAAATAAACTGTTGGAATATCACTTGTGAGCTGTCCCACGTTGATTCTATAGGAAAATGAGCCTAGTATATAAGCCTAGTGGGCTACTCCTTCCATCACCAATTGGTTTGGGATGGACCATCACTAAGGTACATTTAGGCTCACCCTCTTATGGTGCGGTTCATCTGGTGGGACCGCACTCCCTTCTCCCGGTTCTAATATAAACAAATCCCATAAAAAAAATGAAGGGACCAAAGAATGAAAATGTGGAGATCTTGATGACACCAAGCAAAGCTTCTTTCTGAGTAGGAAAGAATATAGCCTTTTTCCACTGATTGAACAAAGAAATTCAAACCCCACAAACCCATTTCACCAAATAAAGAAGGAATGTTGACAAACACAAGAAAATCTCATCAACTTTCCAAAAAAAAAAAAAAACCAACTTTGTCACACCCAATATCAAGAACTTCTCTTATTATTCTAGCAAATACACCCAAAATCATATAAACCAATGTCACCCCACTAGAAAAGAAGCAAGATACAAAAGGTACAAGTTTTTTTTTTAGCCAGCCACGGTATCCGGATCTATGCCCCGACTAATCCATTGGTCGACTCGAGTCTCACACCCGGCATGGTGGATGAGTCTCCCAACAAGGGTTTTCTGCATCCACAAGGTCTCGAACACGAGACCTTGCTTAAGTGACATCAAATTGTTTACCTTGAGCAAATTACTAAACAAATTAAGCAAAAAAAAAAAATGCACTTTTTTTTTTGTCTTACCAATGTAATACTTCTTCATGATATCAGGAGAGGCCAACTTCCTCTCAATCTGAGTCATCTGTCCAATCTTCTCTTCGAGGGTCATTTTACTCATCAAGTCTTTGATTCTAACACCAAGGGCCTGTTTGGGATCTCTGTATTTCGCGTATTCAGCCTCTGCAAAAGCAGCCCACAACAACAGAAAGCTTAAAAGCAACAAGGGCTTCACAAATGGCCGTTCAGTGCCCACCCCCATTTGCCGCTTCTCTCACAAATCCTCTGTTTCTACTGCCAAAATAGCAAGAAAAATGGTGAGACCACGCAAAACGCCTTACCAATCTGTGACCAAACACTGCTCAATGGTTGTGTTGTGTATGTATAGGTGTATATAAATGTGATGTTCCGAACGGTAAACGTGGGTTTGGGGGATTCTCCTATAATAAATCCTAGACTAGATAACTTTTCAATTATTTTTAAGTTTTTGTGCAAATCAGTTTTAAAGTTTAAATCGACTTATTCTCTCGTTGGCGAGTTATTTATTTTTTCTCGTTGTGTTGTATTGTGACATTTAGGTTACTTTTGGTAAACTTCTTTTTTTTCGATTACTGAGTCAGTTGTAAGTACGTGTTTTAGTAATGAATTCTATTGAAAAAAAAAGTTTTAAAGTTTAAACAACGTCTACTTGACCAAAAATGTTAATTCTATCATTAAATTTTATATCTTTATTTATTATTTTTCTAAAGTACAAATTTTTATTTATGATAAAAGTATGTCGGCCTTATATTTAAATATAATTGATGTGATATAAATAAAAGATAAATAATGGCGATGTCATATAAAAGATTATAAAATAATATTCAATTTATGTATCCAATTACACAGTTTTGCTATGAAGTCAACAGTTAGTCCATATTAGAGCCAACTTTCTATATACAACAAGTAAATCGTATCATGTTATCTGATATCTTAAATAAATATTAATAATTTATAATATGGTATGGTTTACTTGTTGTAAATAGAAAATTGACTCTATTGTGAAACCAATTATTAGCTTCATAGCAAAAATGTCCAATTGCATTCCTAATAAAGTTCCCTTTTTTTTTTTTTGCCATAATGTTGTGTGAATGATTGTGGAGCATATTATAATTATTACTATTATAGCTATTGGAAAATGAAATAATTATATGTCTTACCATCATAAGAAGAAGAAATGCTAAGCTCCCGTTACGAAATGCTAAGGTCCCGTAACCATCATAAGAAGGAGAAATGCTAATCTCAGGGTTTGTAATCGTTAGATTATCATGTCATCGTCAGAGATAGTTGATCTAACGGTTATAGATCTCGACGGAATGATTCCAACGAGACAGTAACATTTTTGCATAAGAAGAGATGGTTATCAATTTCATAATGAGTTGTTTTATATGATATTTAATGTGGCTAGTGTTGACTGGTAGATTTGTTTTGTGCTTACTAAGCTTGACCATCTCTCTTTCACATGTTCATAAATAGCAAAATATAGGTCAAATAAAGTAAACTAGTCCTAGATATGTATACAAATTTATAAGTTCCATCTTTCCAATAATAGCTCCATTTTTTTTATGGCCCAAGTGTAACTGTTTAATCTCTCTCTATATATATAATTGCTAGTAATTCATAAATAAAACTTCGTAAATTTTACCTTATAAATTATACCTACATGACACCAAAATTAATGCAATAGCAAACCTTTTCCATCTATTTTCAGTTACAAAACCACACTTGATAATTTTTAGTTATTTATTTATTGGTTGATAATTATCAACCAACAGTGTTGTTTCAGAACCATATTAATCACAACAATATTAATGGCAGGACACTCTAATACATGAATTGAAAACACAAGCAATTTACATTATTACAATACGTCAGTTTTGTTATGGAGTTATCGCATGGTTCGACTTATGGAGTCATCCATACTTATTCACCAATAGTGTATTGACATGTGTCTTACAATAAATAAAATTTGAACGGGTGTCAACACATTAAATAGTGGATGGCCCCATAAGAAAAATATCCGATGACTCCATAGAATTTTTGTACAATACGATCGTCTATTTCCTGGACACCATGAGTTTGTCAATCTTAAACATCAAATGTACAATAAATCTACCATCTAGAATTTTTTTACAATCTTAAAAATCAACTAACACTTGAAGACATACATATAGAGAGCATATGCTTATTGAAGGCATTCTTATACCACCCGTGAAAAAATAGATTATTGATTTTCACCCAAAAAATAGAAAATAAAAATAATTTTAAATATTTATTTTAGTCACTTAATTAATCTCCATTCCTTAAAACTAAAGTTTGTTATTATACATATATTATGTCATATATATAGTAATTCATTTTCCAATTTTGTTATGGTTAAATTTTTAAATGTGATATACTCATTATTTAACTTACTCTAATATATTATACACATACATATAATACGTAATATTTCGATTATATCATTTGTGCATGTGCACATGATAAATACTAGTTCATAAAGCTTACTAATATGTAAAGTTTACTACGTGATACATCACAAACTTTTGTACAAGGGAACCTAGCTGAGTTTATTCATCGTATTATGTAAACAAAAATGAATACTTATATTATCAAATGTCATACTTCTTTGTACAATAATTTTTAAAATATGACATTTTTTTATACAAGTTTGCATATTCGAGAAATTAGTAGTCCGTTTAATGGTCAGGTTTGATTAACACACGACTAATCATCAAATGCATTAATTTTAGTTTTCGTATGTAAGTTGATAGTTCAATGGACTGAAATCGAGAAAATTATAAAATTTGATTTTTATTTTTTTTTTTAAAAATATCACTTTTCTTCAATTTATTTGTTTCTAGGCATGTAAATGACACGAGTCAAGTTCGGCTTATTAATCACTACTCGAACTTTAACGAGTCGAACTATAAAAAATTATATAAATATTCTTTTTTCGAACTTCATCGAGTCAAATCGAACTCGTCTCATTAACCAAACGAGCTTTAAATAACTCGAACAGGAGCATTTAATGAACTCGAACCAAATTCGAGTTTGACGAACCAAACTCATTTAATTTAACACCACCCTTTGTATCTTACACTATCCATTGTGAATTTTGTCGGTTTTGGTGAATAAAATAGTTTGTGGGTAAATGAAACTTTTTGGAGGCCTTCGAGAAAACGCGCACACGCAAGCACGACTTTTTCTAACTTTGCGCACGTCACCACCAAACAAAATCGCTGAAAAATTAAAAGAGTTCTGATTGTGGGGACCCCACGTTATGGGGTGCAACGACGTGGTATTTTATTTTCTCTGTTATAAAATACATTTGAAATTAATTTAATCCCACAATTAATTTGGTAATTGGTAATTATCAACCAAATAAACACATCTCTTCCAGCTTAACCAGTGGTCTCGAGTTCGAGTCCTGGGAATGCAGCAGTGTTAAAAAACTCTTGAGGGAGAGCTTTGCCGCCCTTGTGGTCCTACCCAGCTCGATTCCGGATTAGTCGGTTTCCCTGTGGATCCGAAAACCGGAAGGTCCCTGTACCAAAAAAAAAAAGTATATAGTAATAGAATCTACTTTTTATATTATTTTCTGAGCACATTTGATTAGCACATTTTGCAACCTATTTGGCTTCTTTCGGACCTTTGGGTTATCACTTCTTTCAAGACCCCTCACATGGGTTCAGCCGTGGTTGTCCCATGATATTAGTGGAGTTTCGTACTTGAGGAACGTGTGTAGTCCCGTCGTACCGTAATAGCGTTACTCTTTGCACCAAAAAAAAAATAGTTATTCTATTGAGTGGGCTTCGAATTAGATGTGTGAAAAGGATTAGGCCCAAGTTGTTATCAGTAGCCAGTCTGTTGGGCTTACCATTAAAGCTCATTTTGAAAGAAATAAATACAAAAATCATTCCATTTTCATAATAGTAAAATTATAAATTTGAATTTTATGGTTGAGTTATTTATATATTATGATTGCCAAAAAACAAAAATAAAAAAATAAAAAATATCCATATATATAAATTATACGAGCAACGGACAAAGCCATCTTTCTTAGTTACTATTTCTAATTCATATTGTATAATGAATTTGATATATAGTTTTATTTAAATGATAAATATCTTTTTATTGTTTTCAATTTAATATTGACAAAAACTTTGATTATTATTATTATTATAAAGAAAAAAACAATTATTTATTTATATCTGCAATATATATATGTCAAATTGAATCTCATCAAAATATATTATTTTAATATATATATATATATAAATGCGATAATAAATATATAAGTTATTAACATTTAAATAATACTAGTGTTGATACCCGTGCAATGCACGGGGTATATTACAAAAAATATTTTGTTAAATATTAAAAAATTATTTAAGAAAATATGAAATTATATTCTCCACAATATTTTATTCAGTAATAATATGAAATTTATTTATTTACTATTATTGTTACTCTCTATATATATACACACACACACATATATATATATATATATGTGTGTGTGTGTAATTTACTATTTAATATATAAATTTATTATTTATAAGTTTATAAAATATTATAAATGTATAAGATTATATGATATTTGCATATAAATTACTTGTATGTACTTATAAAATTTTCGTTTATCATATTTTTATAATTTTATCAACAATTCATAATTTACACATTGCTTGATAATTGACCAACGTTTAACCCATAATATTTATCTCCCGCTACAATTATTAAGTGCATTAAATGTTAAAAAAATTGATAGATAAATCTTAATTTCTGGTAGTATAAAATTTTATTATTTATAAGTTTATAAAATATTATAAATGTATAAGATTATATGATATTTGCATATTAATTTCTTGTATGTTCGTTTATCATATTTTTAGCCATTTTTTTCAATTACGTAGTATAAAATTTATTAAGAAACTAGAAGTGAATAATTAAAGTATATAAAATAATTGATGTGTGGAGAATGAACAATAATTAAAAAAGAATAATATATAAATATAATTTACATAGATTTGACAAGGATAATATCATGTAAGTCAATAGTGATTAGTTTTTTTTTTTAATGACATTTCTTTATAAATATAGAGCAATATTTAAAAGACTAACTCGATCTTGAAATCAATAAACACATTTAATTATTTATTTATTTATTTGTTTATTTATTTATTTTTTAAGATATGATTCTATAATGATGCCCATGCTAGAAATGGGGATGACAATGCATTTGGGTATATTACTTTTTTCACCACTAATTAATGCAAATAGCATAAGGTAACTTTTTTACTTGTGAAATTCGTTAAGATGTTGGATATATATTGGAGTACATAACACGTTAAGATTGTCGTTAAGATTCTACATAATCACAACTTTTGACTATGAGCATCTTCTAAGCACAATTCATAATGTGATTAACATTGGATGCCCCATAAGAAAAATAAATAATAAAAAAGAACTAAAAGGTAATTTAAATGGGGAACATATTATTACCACGGCCAATTCAAAGTATTTAGGGCGTGCTTGATTACAAATATATTTGCTGAAGTTGTCGAATACCTGTCACCGTGTATCCAATTAGAATCTGCCACTTGTCGTGAAGAAATAATATTTTAATGGATTCTCATTCTATAAAAAGAGGGGTCAAATGTCTCGAAGATCATCAACAAATACATTGGAAGAGCCCCCAAATAGAACAAGTTATATGCTGAAATTTATCTCTCTAAATTTTCATTTGCATTTTTTGTTCTTCCTGTCCTTTGAAGTTTATGTATACAAAAGAGGTCCTAGAGCGGCCCACTCTATCGATAAAATTTGTCAGAGAGGTGTCTTAATTCGACGGCAGAGACGAGTCATATATTTTCTTTGTTTTTCCCTGACCACGTTAAAATCAATCTTAAAATTTTGAAATCATGATAATAACAAAGTCATCGTCTCGGTGGTCTCATTGACGCAAACACTCGTCAGCAACTACAAAGTAATTTGTAATATATTACGTCGCAGAATTATATTTTATAAAGATATTGTGGAACATTCATATACCAATATTGAAAAATATTTAATCATATTTATCAAATAATATTAATTAAAATAAATTTTGAAATATATAGAGGATATAAGAACCTTGACCATACTTTATCTATCTATATTAATCATAATAGAAATAAGTAAATTGTGACAAAGTATGATCATGTATGATAAATATTATAATAATTGACATATCATTGGTGGTAACCACCGCGCGACAAAAGATAAACATACTAACAGATACATGACTGAAAGATCACGAAACATCTGATGAAATCATCGGATGTTTTATGAAATCATAATACAATTACTCAGTAATTCCTTTATATTTATACAATTTTGCCACCGTCATCGAATGTCTTATAAAATCATATACAATTATTCAATAGTTGTGTATCACCACATATTCTAAAATATATTCACTTACAAACAAACCTCAATAGAGCCATAACAAAGTTTGCTAATTCATATTCTAAAAATTCCCAAATGCTCATTCTTCTCTCTATTGTTTGACACACACACATCACAACCATATTCATACTCTTTAAAATAAAATAGTAAATACTCTCCTTCTTGTCATTTTTTTTTTCAAGTATTTGAAAAATCATTTAAAAATAATGAAAATAATATATAAAGCATAAAAGGAGTAAAAAATGTGGAAAAAAAAGACACAATATATCACATCATCTTAAAGTTGATTTACCAACAAAAATCACAAAATCTTCAAGATTTTTCCATCCCCCAAAAGCACACTACACACTAATTAGTAAAATACCCAACACACCCCACCCTACCCCACCCCACCCCACTTTCCATTTCTAGCAAAATACAAAATAGCCAAGATAACAAAAAAAACCTTCCCTTTTTTAGCAAAACATAAAACCACACCAAAAACTAACACTTAAAAGTTTGGGCCCATTACCATATCTCACCCCTTGACGTCATCATCCTTGCTCTGGTCTGCGGCGCCCTTGGAGGGGCAAACCGGGTATTTCACCCCGTTCAGCTCAATCTTGCGTAGGGCAGCCTTATCCAGGTCAATCCCACAAATGTCGGATAACCTAATCAGGTACAGCAGAACGTCGGATAGCTCCTCCCCCAGATGCACCTTTTCCTCTTCCTTCCAATCAGGCAGCCCCTTTGGAACTTCCCCTTTCCATTGAAATATTTCAGATAGCTCTCCAATTTCTCCAACCTAATATTAATAAAAAAAAAAATAATAATACATAGATGGTTTTCTTCTTTATCATTTTTCATGAGATTGATTGAAATGCTAATTTATGCTATCTGAAAATAAAAAACAGCTTAATTATGAATTCAGGCCGAGCTAAATTTATATGACTGATAGGCCTGTAAATTAGCCGAGCTGAGCTGAGTCGAGCCGAGATCGAGCTCGAGCAGTCGTTAAATAAACAAGTCAGAAATCAAACTCAAACTAGGCTCGTTTATCACTAGCCGAGTTCGAACCTTAACGAGCCTATTTCGAGCTTTAACAAGACTTAAAAAATTATACAAAAAATCTTTTTTCAAGCCTTATCCAGTCGAGTTTGGCTCTTTAAGTGACCTCGAGCTCCAGCCGAACTCAAGTTGAGCTCGAGTCGAGCCAGACTCATTACTTACTAATGACTGATAACTTATGGCTAATGATGAAAACTAACATCAACCAAGATCCAATTTTTCAATTGATTTTTTTTTTTTTTTAGGAAAATGAACTAATCAACAAACAAGCTCTTAGTATACTTTTTCCAATACTCTTTTATTAGTGGGAAATGATACGATCGAGTTACGGTACCATCCTGCTGAATGTTTTAACCGTTAGATAATTTATTAACTACATGTGTATTCCCTATTCAACGGTTAAAACATCTGACAGGATGATACCATTACGATGATACCATTACGGGACCATAACATTTCCTAGTACTTCTCAAAATACCACTTAAAATAATTTGCTTAACAAACACGCTCATCTCTAATACTTTTTTATTAGTGATTCTCAAAATATAGTTAATTGTGCAAATACTTGAACTATAATATACTAAACTGACATGTTTTGAAGAGCTAAGGGACAAAAAAATTGGAGCGTTGACTAAAGGCCAAATTTAAACATTAGAAAAATCACTAATTAAACTAAGACTTGCAAAAATCATAAGTTAGACAGCTTAAATGACTAAAACTGCAATTAAAGTGTCACAGTGAAAGCGTGTGAAAAAAATTATAGAAGATGAACTTGAAACCATTCCGTCGGAATTTGTAATCGTTAGATCAACTATGTCCAATTACAAACCGGACGGAATGGTTCTCTAATATGTAGTATTTCCCAAAATTATATATAGTTTTGATCTTAATTATTGAATAATTAAATAAAAAATGCCAAATCGAGTGACCAACTAACACGTAAAAAAAATAAAATTAAATATATTTGGTTCGCTGGATAGGGTCGGATGAGAGGAAACAGTGAAAAGGACTGTTTTTATGCTATTCTGTTTGTACCAAACAAATCCCTATAAATTCTAAAAAATACAAATGATTTGTAGAAAAATAAAATAAAAAAGCCCAAAAAACAGTAAAAAAATAAAAAATAAAACAAAATCAGCAATAGATTAATTTCAAGCAATAAAAATCTCCAGAATCATCATCATAAATCAGGGGAAAATTAAAATCATCATAATAATAAAAATAAATATAAAATTAGGAAATAAAATAAAATAATAAAAAAATAAATTACATATGAATTTACCAAAGCCAGAAGAAGATTTCGAGGGCTGTGGAATTTTTCCCAGTCTCTTTCCTTAGCAAAATCGTCCATCTTCTTCTTGAGAAGGTCCAGCGTCACTCGCTCTTCTTCCCCTGCGCCTTGTTTGGCTCCCGTCATTCTTCCTCTTCTGTTTTTCACTCTTTTTCGATTTTTCGCCAATAAACTTTTGAGAGAGAAAAAGCGAAAAGCCAAACGGGGTGTTAACTTTTGGTTGATCTAACTTTTGATTTGTGGGCGAGATTTGTTGGTATATAAAAAGGTTTTAGTGCCGGTGGGGTTTACGGGCTACCGGCTATACCGGGTTGATTCTTCTAGGTCATGTGTTTGTTGTGCAATGACGAAACTACCCCTAATGAGTTCGTATATAATTAATTGCTTTTTGGACTCAAAAATCTTTATACATAAAATATAATTATAAAATAAAAAGCATAATAGCTATATTAAATTATTAATAATATTATGAATATATTATATTCTAAATAATTTTATTAATAGTATTAATTAATATATTTTATATAATGTAATTTGTAAACAACGTACGAAAGTAAATATAAATAAAATAATTTTACAAACCTACTTAATTAAGGTTATGTTTGGTAAAACTAAATGATAAGTTAGTTGATAGCTGATAAGTTAGCTTATATCTTATCAGTAGTTTTCGAGCTCATAGCTTATAGCTGAAAAGTTAGTTTATATGATACAAACGTTTGGTAAAATTAACTGATAAGTTAGTTTATAAAAATTCAACTAGCTTATTTGAAAAGTTACCTAAAAAAATTTATCAAATAAGCTCGAATCCTAAAAACTCGTCATACCAAATAATACTTATTAAATACAATGAGCTTATAAGATAACTTATATATCTGTCAAACATAGTCTAAATACTGATTATTGCCCCCCAAGGCACTAGTTGGGTCTATTTAGTTTAGCACAAATCTATTTTTATAACATTGAATAAAAATAAAAGGTAGTAGTATTTGTTTCCCATTTACATAATTATATTACGATACGATGAAAAAATCACAACCACATATCTTTATTTATTTATTTATTTTTTAATTATGATTGGTAGAAAAATAGTATTACAATGAAGATTAGTAATATAACTTTATTTTTCAACTAATGTTGTTTATTGGATAAATTTATCTTTTAATACATATATGCAATATAAATTCTTGTTATTCATGTAAAGCACATTGTGGAAGCTATTTTCAATGAGTTTGACCATGACTGATATATTGACCAATCATTTCTCTAAATCTTGTGTCGTGTATGTCACCATTATTTTCATAATAAGTTTGATGAAATTTATATAAAACTAAAACCAAATTATTTTATACATCAATGAATGTAATACAATAATCAAATTTTCTTATTATTATTCAATCAAGTCAAATGTGTTGATTAACAATTAAAAAAAAAACTCCGTAAACACCCCATATATATTAGCATGGGGAAATGCTACAATCCCATTACAAAATCATTCCGTTAAAATTTGTAACCGTTAAATTATCATGTAACGTCGTGGATAGTTGATCTTACCGTTATAAGACCAACCGACAAAGGGACTAATGGTCTCGATTTCTGAGAAACTCGTGTCTCGCTGTCATGAGGTGGGGCACACAAATAATGATTTTTCTTTTCTTTTCTTTTTTTATTTTTTATTTTTATTAAATTGCATAATGATAATATACGTAAACGTGATTAGCACCGCGTTTTAGGCGGTTAATAAAATAATAATAGTGATAACTAATGCTCTTTTCAAAGGTAAGCGTGATTCCAAACACCGACTTTATGAGTTATGACTGATGACTAATCAGCCCTTTGGATTTTCAAAATCCAATTTCAAACCCCTCCACTCATTCTAAAATATATCACGCTTGTGATTCGAATATACTCTTTAGAATTTATAACACTTATTATTAAAAATTTAAGAGGTTAATAGATTATTGTAATTAAATTACTTAGTGAAAAATATACGTAGAGAGTTTAAGGCGCTCAATTTGTGTTATAAAACGGTTTATAATGATTTATGTTCCGACACCAAAAAGTTGAAATAGCGGAAATACAACGTAATATTAAAAAACTTTTCGGGGAGCGTCCCACTACCTTTATAGCTATTTCATTGATAACTCGATTGTGCACAAGTGTACAACTTTGGACTTACAAAAACTAAAACTCCTTTCTAGCCTGCCACAAGTACACTCGAATCTACTAATTACTTATCTGGCCACTTCTCATGGACTTAAACACTATTGACTCCCTCGAGCAAAACATTGTACTTAATCCCTAAGTACTAATCACAAAATTGTCTGAATAAAATAAACAAAACTAACTGAAAACGACTTTAGTGTTCATAAGTTGTAAAAACATCAAAACATTGAACTGCGAACTAAACAGAAAAATAAAGAAAAACTTGAATTTTTAATTGAAGCTTGAATGCTATGAATAATGGGAATTTCAGCAGCCTTCAAATGTTCTTCAAGTAGAGTTTATATATCATCCTTAGGTGTGTTCTTCTTCTTCTTCAAGTTCTTTCCTTCCTGCGCGATTTCCTTACCACAACTGCGGATCTCATCATAGAAAGTGAATATCTTATTTGATCTCTATTCAATGCGTCCCTTTCCATCCTGCCATGCACGTTGATATCCTACAAAGCAGTGTTTTAAATACCGTACCGGTGGTCATACCGGTCTAGCCACCGGTATGCAGTATTACCGATCGGACCGGTAATATCGGTTGTATTACCGGATTAGCAAATATAATAATAAATATAAATATACATACAAATATATAATACCAAATGCACTAAAGTAAAAAAATAAATGACCATAATCATTAATTTTAACTTTTCAATGGGATAAAAATAAAATATTTTAACTACCAATTTAAATTTATTTTTAAATTAAAAAAATTATTGTTTTTTTTTATTTTTTATAATTAACCGATATTTTGGACCGGTATTTTGCGGTTATTACGGTATGATCCCTGTGTTAGAGGTATGCTGTAAAAGCTGTGTTTTGCAGTTTCTATCAATTCCATTTTGA